TCTGCAGAACATACAAATATGGAAGCATATAGATTTTTTCATATGAATCTTTATTTCGCTGAACTTGAAAATGGAAAGATATTTGACTTTACACCTGACATTTCAGTTAAATTTCCTATTGTTTGAAATTTTAGATTTGAATGTCTGCCGTAATAATTGCATAATCATGACCCTACGGATTGTAAATCACGTTTCCGATTATGTTTAGCGAGTATGACGATCAAATGAAAAGAATTTAATTTATAAAAATCAAAAATGATTTCTGATATAAATTATATTTTGTCACATGAAGATTTCGAATTTTCTTCATTGTTACTTTGTTTCACCCTTTGGATTGCATCAGGTGAATACCAGTCATTTTCCATTCCAGTTTTCCTCCCGGCACATTTGGTGTATGGAAAAATCTTCGATACCGTATGCCTTATATGGCATACAACGTGTGGCAAACAGGGCTCATGTTCATTTTATGACAGTCATGCTATGCGAATGAGGCTGATTTCTGTAGATTTCGGATTGAAAATTGCTGCATTTTTGTCAACGGTTCTTGCTTTGATATTTTCCATAAGGAAAGACAGAAACAAAGATGACAATGAGATGGAAATACATATATTAAAAGATGAAGAACAACAGACTGACGAAGCGTAGTCAAAGATTCTGATGTTAACTTATCTGGCGTTGCCTACACACACAAATATATATATATATATATATATATATATATATATATATATATATATATATATATATATATATATATATATATATATATATATATATATATATATATATATATATACATATATATATAACATTTTGGTAATCATTGCTAGATTAAATTAAAATGATATCTTCTTAGTTTGTTATTCAAATCTTGCAGCAATTCAGGAGATGCAGCTTCTTATGCAGGCAATGTTAATTAATGCATTTATGTTGCAGACACATGTTTCCAATTACTGACTTCTAATTAGAAATACATGGAATATACTAATATTTGTTAGGGATACTTTCAATGGGTATATATACATGCTCATTTATTTGTATTGCTACGATTCTTATATTTTCCTTAAATATTATAATGCTATTTTTGAAACTGTTGATATAAGCAGCATGTTCATTTTTTGGATGTAATGCTAATTCTTTTCCTAGCTGTTATCCTCGCGGTAGAGTGATTCCAAATGATTGTCTAGAATTGCCTACATCGTTTATCATAACGAAAATAGCTTTAAATCCTTTTACAATATTTTGTTTTTAACACATGCGTGTTTCATATTAATTAAGTAAGAAAGGTTTAAATAAAATATTAAAAAATTATTCAAACGTTATGTGTTATTTTATCCAGCCAATTCATTTACATCTTTGCATCTTATTCTTCTTTTGTTACAATTTGCATGCAAAGTTAATACGGATTAACGATGCACACCAATCAGATTTATACAATGGCTGATATAATCCCCTTACAGGCATTTTCCGTTCGGATTTAAAATAGCAGGTGAAGCATTTCATTTCCTGAGTACTACGTTTCATTTTTTTTAATTCGGAATCCAAGTATGACTTTAATGCATTTTTGTCAGATTAGAGTAAATTTGATGCTGTATAATATAATCTTGAATTCAACGAGAGTTCACAAGAAATAATTATTTAATTTGATTATTAAAATTATGGATGAAAAATTATTAGCCGAATAAATATGTGCACTACAAATATTAAATTTGATGATTAGGGAAATTGCATAATTGAAAAGGGCGTATAATGAGATCTGTAACGAATTTTAAGGATAATTCATTCGTCAGAACCAAAAATCTAATCTATGATGTAGGGTGACTATTGTCACATCCCTCTACTCCAAATAAAGGGACGAAGTCATATTCGTAGAAAAATGTTAAATTTGACTTCATCACTCACTTAAATATTGAGGTAACTTTTCAATCCCTAATGAATGAATACAATTGTCTTATAACAAAACATTCAAAAATGCAAGTGAAAAAGGTAGTGGAGAGAGAGAGAGAGAGAGAGAGAGAGAGAGAGAGAGAGAGAGAGAGAGAGAGAGAGAGAGAGAGAGAGAGAGAGAGTTTATGTATGGTACGAACATTTTATTAGTCAGTTAGCCAGTTAGTTCAAGTTAAAAATGCTGGGATAAGTACATCAACGACATTAAACTGGTTCTCAAAAGACGATGTCATGTTAAAATGTTAGATAAACACTGGACCACCTACTTATAAAATACATATGTTCTGATCCAAGAGCTATTTAGGAACACCATGAGCCATCTACGCCCCAGATTCTTGCCAAGAAATAAGGGTTACTGAGTCCCATAATTTTCAGAAACAGCTTACAAAAAAAAAATCTGGCCTTAAAATTTATGTGAAATCCTGGGCCACTGATTGTCCAGTCAATTGAAATTACATCAAAACCTTAAGGTTGTCAATTAAGTTGGCATAAAAACAAAGCTATTGCTCTTTAGCATTATGTTTGGAAATACCGTACTAAGACTTAAGTACTTGTGTAAAATGACCTTTGCCTCTATTCACTGCCCTTACTGTGATATTCGCCTCTTCCATCCGAAAAAAAAAGACGTATCCTGTCGTCATGGAATTTTAGAGAGCACGAGCATGAGATCATCAATAATATAGTTAACGAATCAGAAAATAATTATTTATTTAAATATTTTATTGGGCTTACCAGATTGTGCATTGATTGACATTTTAATTTATACGTAATAGATTGTCATTAAATCGATCTAATTTATGGATGGCATCATTGTGTTACAGGACATCAAGACTATCGGAATTCACTCGGAACCTTATATACTTTTGGACTTATAGGAAGAAATTTTAGGATTATTTGTAATTTAATTCACAATACTGTTGTCTCTTCATGTTCTTTTTATATTGTGACAAGTAAATAACTTTTTCGTTTTTCTTAAGTTTTTGTTTTTATTTATTTGTGTTACACATTTAGGGAACTAGATTCGTAACAACATTCGTGTCATGAATGTGCAATAGGTCGATAATGGGTGTGAGTGTGTGTGTGCATGTGTGTGTGTGTGTGACTTAGATTTTTAATGTAGCTTTAACAATGATTCAGTCATATCGCTATGATGTCTTCAGTGTGACAGTTTATAGTGATGTCTAGCACTGGGGCATCATGCCGCAGACATGTGGCATGATGTCCCATACAGTCACATTATCATGACACCCATTCATAACACTAAGCTCTTAATGATTAGAGTCTATTGAGACAGCTGTTATTACCACTTTTTAAAAGTCTTTGGTATGACTCTACCGGGGTTCGAACCTACAACCTCCCTCATCCGAGTCTGACGCTCTAACCACTAGGCCACCGGAGCGGTTCAAGGTTGAATCTGCTAAAGGTCGATAATGTCATATGTCCTTAAACGATAGTATACAAAGAAATTCAAGCAGGAGACATACACGAGTCAAGCATACAATTGCAGGACGATCGCAACCCATATTCACCGTGCGAGACTGAATTAGTTCACGCAATTTGTTTGCAATTTATCTTCCATGTAATGTATGCAGCCTACTACCCCAAAGCCTACGATATTACAGCTGTAAAGATCCAGTTATAAATTTTCGTTTGTACTTGTAACAAAATCACAAACGGATGTTATTAGTTAAGTCTTATAACTAATTTTGTATTAAAGAGGAACATGTACGTTTAAAAATAAAATGTTGAAAAAGTGAAGAAAAAGTGCATAATCAATTTATAATAGACAAATGAAAGCATGGCCAGTCTAGAAAAGAATAGATGTAGCTATGCAATATTTTACGAAATATATACATGTTCACTTATTAATTATCTTGATTAATGCCTTTTATAAGTGAAAATGTCATAAATGCCCAGAGCAGTTGCTAATCATGCTGTACGTAATGTCACCTAACCATTGCCTACCCCACATGGTTATATACTCATAATTACAGACAAGGATGGAACATTACGGAAGGAATGAAAAGCAGGTGTACAAGACGTCACTCGATTGTCATGCATAATGTAACACTGTGCTATGTAGAGAAACCCACTGGATTTTTATTTATAAATGCAAGATATGCAGACATGGTTATAATCATATTTTGACACCAGAAAGCCACACAGCAGGAGTCGTTGAAGTTTTGATCGCACACTTTAAGAAAGGACACATGAAATAAATTTATATAATGATCTAGTCCAATTATCTGGAGTCAATTTGACTAACCTTGCTTCTTCCGTTTGGAGGATTTCAAAACAAAGTCATGCCTATGAATGACTGACACTGACTAGCTTCTCATGGTAAACAAATTATAGTTAAAAAACAGAGTTTATCCCAAACAATCGGTGTGAAACCTATGATATTTCATAGTTCTTGAAAGCCATTGTAACACAATTGTAACACAATTAGTTATTCTTTAATTAAAGACTAGAGACACTGTTTGATTTAGTATATCAATTTCTACACCGCACAGATCACGTTCAGATTGCAGAACTTTTATTACTGTCAGCTAGTTTTCAAAGCTTAGTGTGTTAATAATATCCCACATTTAATGAACAAGTACATTACTTTTCTATGTTTAATCGTGAATGATACCCGAGTGAATTATAAATTATCAATCCGTTTGTGCCACCGAAATAAGTAAGGTCCTGTTGTCATTTGGTTGAATTATAGTTTGCTAGGGTCGCTAGAAAATTCATCCTAAAAACCTTATATGCCATTGTAATTTTTAATTCCCTTTTAAAAAAAGGGAATATTTTGCAGTCAAGACCATCTATTAGGTTGTGATGTGAGCTTGATTTTTAGCATATAAATATTTGTTTTATTCATATCGCTAAGAGGTCTTCAGTTTATAAGTGATGTCTACCACCTGGGCATCATGCCTCACACAAGTAGCATGATATACCGCCCAGTCACATTACCCTGACACCAGGCCAACCTGTCACTGACCTTTTAATGTTCAGCGCCAAGCGAGGCACTCGTTAGTACCATTTTTAAAGTCTTTGGTATGACTCGTTCCGGATTTGAAGAAACGACCTCCCTCATCAGAGGCGGACGCTATAACCACTAGGCCACCGGAGCAGCCGTCTATTAGGAAGAAATATTAAAAGTCATTAAAAGTTTAAAAATATAGAAAACTCTTGTAACGGACATCAGGAATTAAATAAAAAAAATTCCATGATCAGATTTTAATTACTACATCAACTCATTTAGACTATAGTATACCAACCTTTAAAGCTGTATCTAGTGATATGGTTATTATATGAACCGAAATGTAATAAACAAATAGCTACTTTATGTTATCATATTCAAGGAAATGGAGAAAAAATCATTAAATTTACCTGATTTTATATGACCATTCACAAATAATGCAAACAAATTTATACAAGATCCGCTTTCTTGTTTGATATTATTTAATAAATAACAGATAGTAATTATAGAATAAAGTGAACTGACCACACTAAGTTTAGTCTTTTAAAAACAGTTCCGTACATGTATATATTAACATAATCCGTATAAAAATAAATGCAGTACAATATTCCTTCATTGATTGATATTTTAGTGTGTGATGGTCTACGACCTTTGATGTCGAATCACATTTCACAAGGCACTCAAAATGTCGATCAAGAGTTAAACGTGCTATTTGAGGTGATAAATTTGTTTTGTTATACATTAGTTGCAGCACATGACACAATTATATTTTATTTTAAGATCTACTTTTCTCCGTTATATAAGACACACTTAAAAATTTGGGTCGCCATTCTCTCTCTCTCTCTCTCTCTCTCTCTCTCTCTCTCTCTCTCTCTCTCTCTCTCTCTCTCTCTCTCTCTCTCTCTCTCTCTCTCTCTCTCTCTATATATATATATATATATATATATATATATATATATATATATATATATATATATATATATATATATACATGTGTGTGTATGTGTGTGTGTGTGTGTGTGTTTAGTGCTCCTTAATGTTTGTGAATGGGGGTCGGGGGGCCCAGCGATCTAAGCGATCGCCTTTACAAATTAGCAATATCTCACCGCCATCCTTTTGAATTCGAGTGTAAGTCTCGGCAAAGTCGTACGTTGAAAAACTTGTAAGGGGTTTCCCGCTGGTTGATAAGTATTTCTCTGATTTTTCTGAGTATTGTCTCCACTAGGTGCTCTGGCCACAATGCATATCCTATCAGGTGCTGAATAAATGGCATTATGCCCAAAACCAGTAACAATATTTCTGTGGAGGTATATAGGTGTTCGTGATACATTTTTTTGGGTGAGTATGTTACCATAGTGATCCAACGATAACCTATGTATCTGTTGTTATCGCCCGAAATATAACACCGTCCTGAAAACAAAGAATCTACACGAGGTAATCTCATGCAAATAAAAATATAGGTTAACGAGAAATTCATCAAACTTGTCAGCATGTATTATTAAAACTATTTAAATTGATCTTAAAAATCTACGTTAATAGCTATTGATAGATCCTACGAAATTTACACTCTTTTTATATTAAAATAGAATGTTATAACTTTGCATAATAATTAACTACATTCTGTTTTATTTTTAAAGGATCACTAGTTTACGGTCAGAAATAAATGGCATATATACTTTATATGTAAAGAGTTACGAAAACCATAGATACACGTAACATAAGTGATCATGGCATGAAAATTAGTATAGAGAAGACGAAACTGATGATCAAGAACACAAAGGGCATCAGTACTGACATCAGTGTTCAAGGTACAAAGCTAGAAACAGTCCATAGCAAAAAATATTTAGGGGGAGTTGTAACAGATGAAAGATCAAAGCCTGAAGTACTTTCCAGGATTGCAAAGACAGCAGCAACGCTGACAAAACTGAAGCACATCTGGAGCGACAAGAAAATCGTACTCAGTTCAAAGTTCCGACTGATTCACTCACTGATTATCTCCATATTTCTCCACGCCTGTGAATCATAGACCATAACAGCTGACTTCGAGAAAAGGATACAAGCCACAGAGTTGAGATGATTTCCTAAGATCTTCGGCATCTCGTACAAAGATCGTGTAATCAATGAAGAAATACGGCAAAGGATCAAACAAGCCATTAGGCCTCAAGAAGATGTCCTCTTCTTAGCAAAAAAAAAAACAACAAAAAAACAACAACAATAACAACAAAACAACAAAGAACGTAAACTGCAGTGGTATGTGCATGTCTCACGATCATGAGAACCTGCCAAGACTATCATGCAAGGCACTGTACAAGGAAGAAGAAAGAGACACAGGCAGAGCAAAAGGCGGGAAGACAACATTCGAGAGTGGACGGGCTTGATATTGAGTGACTCAATGAGAAAGACGGAAAATCGAGAGGAATGAAGGAAGCTGATAACTCCGTCTTGTGTAGTGCCCCAACGGTATACCAGACAACGGGACTGATGATGATGATGATGATGATGATGATGATGATGATGATGATGATGATGATGATGATGATGATGATGATGATGATGATGATGATGATGAAGTGGTCTTATGTTTAAGGAAGTTTACCTTCCTAGAGATTTTTACAGTCTTTTGACATTGTAACTAATGTAGTTGTCAGTCTAAATGTAGTCGAGAATGCTTTGATGATAAATATACGAATGGGTCAAATCGCTACATTTTGGTGCTCTATTTATCGCCTTTATATGATTTTTATCCTATGTACGTGAATTAGCTCTAGAGCAGTCTATCATATATGTATTCAAACCTCCTGCAATAATGACATGTCCATCTTCTAAAAAATACTTTTACATATCATTAAGTATATCTCACTTCATGGCGTGTAATCTCGTACCCGAATAGCATATAGATATACACTATGTATATCAGTTAGCGTAACAAACCATCAATTCTTGCACCTTTATTTAAATCATGTATGTTTCACATCGGTGCACTTTTGAATTTCGTTTTAATTTTTTTTTAAACAAAAACATAGTTTAGATACCGGATTTGCAACATTTGATGAGCGAGAATGGATTGCTAGCCTTCCCGCAATTATGTATGTAATTCTCAAACGGTTTTTTGAAGAAGACATTTGTACTTATTAATGAATACAATAAAGTCAAAAGTAGTTATGATACAGTCGATTTTAAAGGCAGATAAACTGATGGCGACCATTCCATTAAAAAATTTTAGTCATTTATATACTTACTTTACTTAACAAATGACTTAAAACTGATATTGTAAACTTTCTTAGTATCAAAGGGCACATGATTATGTGGCTGTCATTATCAAGTTTTCATCACTCTTTATAATTACCTGAGGAATTCTTATGTTTAACCGATTGCGGAAATATTTTGATTCATGTATCTCACTATTTTATTTCATTTTTGACGATATAATAACTAGAGACTGTATCATATTTGTGAAGCTAACGACGCTAAAATTGATACCGTTTTCGATTTCACTTATTTTATCCCGTAAAATAGTTTGCAGAAGTGAATTGATAATCTCCTTGATCATATACGATTTCACTCTCGTCTAGACCAGTTGTCTACTGGTATCATTCATTTTCAGAATGATATAAAACTCAATCTCATAAATTATTGAAAAAGTTATTTTACTCCAGTTAAACAAATTGTTGTCAATCTGAGATAATATCTGAGTAGAACACAAAACACGTCTGCACAGTTACTGTTACGACAGGAGTAGACGAAATAGGAATTTAAAATGGGATTAGTTTTGATAGCTCATTTCACTCCCTATTAGCACAATATTTCACAACATACCCACACTTGACCGATCAAATACTCCTTCTAATAAATACCTGTTCACATGACCTATCACATCCAATAACAATTGATTTCATTTTTGAAAGATATTATTTGACACGTTTGCAAATAATTTTTATATGTAACTATCAAGACGTACGAAGGCACCTATTTATAACTCCCACGCAAATATTTCGTTCTTTAATACACTTAAGCAGATCATACTCACGTATGAAGGTAATCAGTGGCAATTTAAGCCATGAATAAAAATGACTAATATTAGATACAGTCATGTACCAGAAATTACATAAAATACCAGAAGTTACATAAAATAAAGATATGCATAGAACAGCCACTAGATATCAAACCTTTCATGAGTACAAACGAGTCTTGGAATGGAGAAGAGAGAGCACAAGCACGCATTCAACAATTGTATAAGTAATGGGAAAACAATAGCCGTTACACTGACCTATTCCTGGTATCAAAAACGAAACCTGTAGAAGTGATAAGTAAATGTGTTACAACTATATGAATTCAATCCTATCAATTGATATCTTATTTAATTTATTCCTAATCTGCAAAACTGCAGCAAAAGCAAACAAAAAAAAGAAAAGAAAAAAGTCACCATGCCATCAGTCAACCTATCGTATTTTTGTAACTACCACTCTTGTAGTGCAACGTGCAGGATAGTTCTATGTTGTGGATGTATCGGCTGGATGTATCGGTTCTATGTTGTGGATGTATCAGTTCTATGCTGTGGATGTATCAGCTGTACTTTACCTTTGCTAATGTTCATGTACAAAATCAAATGAGCTGATCTATTCTGGCTGAGCTTCTGTAATCTGTGTCACTAGCCTTGATATTGGACGTCTAAGGACATGTATGGAAACGCAAAACCGAGATTGCAGGTTACAGTTTAAAGAGATTAACATTTTCCTATGTAGTGAGTAGACTTACACATACTTTTGCAGTTCACCATTTAGAGCAATGATAAATCCATATACATACATTGGATTTTTTTAATGTTCATTTAGGTACTTAGATTATGAAATATTTGTCACGTGGGTCTTATATTATTGTAGCATTATAACACTGTCCTAATCATGTATATTGACCGCCATTGTGATGCCACGAGTTTCAAAACATGGAATATGAAGTAATCATACAGATATCGAATATTAGGTTAGTATTACAGTTCAAACTTTATCTTTCGACGAATATTTAAAATGTTCTATCTAAGCAGACATCCAGACATTATGAGAGAGATAGGGACGGTCACAAGATACAAGTTTTACAAGAAGAATAGTGGGAAGCAAACAATCCTAATATTTATCACTGATTTGTAACAACCA